CGAGGAGAAGAGAATGGAGGAGAAGGGATTGCGGTGTGGCCATCCCCCCTGGGGGGTGATTTCTCGCTTTGTCTGTCTGTCTCTCTCTGGCAAGTGCACACACCCTGTAGCAAAAACCTCTCTCAAAAAGCCAGATCCCACATGACATCTCCTAGGATCCTCGGCCTGGTTGGCCTCAGTCTAACACGTGACTGCCTAAGATCTGAGTGGCAAGAGGACTGTGTTGGGCCAGGCCCAGAGCAGCGTGTTCTTGTCTGTCACTCTCCTGGATGTGGGCAAGGTCCATCCTGAGTAAAGGGGGGCAGGGGAGACCAGTAGGTGGCGTGGTGGTTAAAGGCACTGGATTCCCACATGGCCAACCACAGTTCAAGTCCTGGACCCGGCGACTTGCTCTCTCACTTTCCTTCTCTCTCTCTGTCTGATCAAACTGAAAAAAAAAAAAGTAATAAAGCTACATAAATTTTTTTTTTAAAAACAGGGGGGGAGGGAGTGTATTTAAAACAGTAGTTACAAAAGCACCTTATGAAACCATTCCTAAAATGACTATTTCAACCAAAGCATGGTAAGGTGAAGGAAAGCAAAACAAATATTTTAAGTCCAATTAGGAGGAGGAAAATAAGAACAGAAACTGATAAACAGAGATGACCTCGACAGGCTAGAAAGACTGGGGGAAGAAATTGGAAATAAAATAAAAACTGGTGTCCTTGAACGGCGGGCAGAGCTGGACCAGGCAACAACCAAAAAGCGCAGAGAGCAGCTTTTCTGCCTGTTTTTTCCCTCCTATCCTACTCGCAAGGCCCGCGGGGAGATCAGAAAGAAAACCACCAATTGCTAGAGTGTAGCTAAGGGAATGAGAACTTGTTTTAAGGCAAGCGAAGTGGCCAGACGAGGTGAGTCAGAGGCATGACTCAAACCCGACACCGACACCGGGGGCTGTCTGTCAGCTCCCGAGGCGGGGGGCGCGGCGTCTAACACGTTTTAGGAAAGTACCCAGCTCGCGCAGGGCGACAGAAGCCTCCCCGGGAGATCGCCCCGGGGCTCCTTCTGCAGAACTTGACCTCGAACGCTCCCACCCGGAGCGGCTTCTAATTCCCCATTTCCCCTTCTTCCTTTAGAGGCTCCCACCCCACTTCCTCCAGCAAGCCTT